ATACTATGCCGTAATTAATTCTACCACGTGGTAAAATGCCGTAATGCCGTAATTCAGTAATTCTACCAACAACTATAGTTCCCACCAATAACATTATCAGAGTTAGAAATATCAACATTATCGCCATGAAATGTATTCTCATTGCTGGTATTCAATCTAAAAAAAGACATGATGCTGAATCCATTTTCACCTACTGTATAACAAAGAAAAGTTATTTAGAGGCTTAAATTTGAAGGTTCATCTTGTAGAGATTCACCTGAATTATTTTTAACTATAGCCCCTCCTAAAATAAGACGATGCGCATAAAAATGACCATATCTTTCTGATAAATTACGGAGTTGCTTTATTATATCCTTTTCGTTATTTTTTAATACAGCTTTAGCATCTTTAATAAATTCATTAGTTGCACTAATGCCCGAAATTGTAATTTCTTTTTTTGGTCGCCATACGCATGAATGCATGGTGGATTGTTTAGAATTAATTTGAGATAATTTCAGCGAATTACAAGACCATTCCAAAGCATCCGAAAATTTTTCATCAATTATAAGGCCACGTTTACAATCAGCATTAGGTGAGTGTTTGCATTTGTATGTCTTGTCTCTACGATTGCATCTTGGATTCCAAAATTTAGTAATTTTATTGATATCGATTTTAAAAGCCTCATCTTCAGCATATTCAATAGAACCACCTTCATCGAATTTGAAACCTTTCTCATTTGTTAATTGTAATAAATCGAATTCTGTACTATCTTTGTCAATATATAAACAATGATTATTATCGATAATTTGCGAAAGGGTTAGTTCAAACTCGTGTTTTCGTGGAATTCGGGCATTATTGTTTGTAAAATAACAATTAGTTCCCATTCCAAGTTCAGTTCGAACAAAATTAAGAGTTTTATTGCTAGATAATGGCACATATTCTGGTATTTTATTTTCCGATTTAATTATCTTGATGCCAATTTTGTCACCCACATCCATTTTTGAAGTTGATCCTCTACGGTTGCTTCCATCCTCAGGTTTGCTAAATGACTCTCTTAGACGATTCTCACTTACGGCTAATTTTGAAATATTAGAAACAAAATTGTAAATATTAATAGAGTAATATATGGTAATAAATAATGATAGTCTTTGACATACGAGGCAAATTTTGTTCATTACTCCATATTTCTACTCGATTGCGACCACACTCTTTAGCTTTCTTCGATGCATTGTCAGCGTTGAGAAGTAAATCGTCACACATATTTACTGACGAATTCATTTCGGAAACTCCAATGCTAAGTGTAATTAATAATTTGATTTTGTTATAAGTGAATGAATGAGATTTAGCAGATTCTCGAATCTCTTCAGCAATTTTAGAGGCAGAGCTTATATTAGTGCCCTTGAGAAGAATAGTAAACTCGTCTCCACCATATCTCGCAAAAATATCCACGGAACGGACGTGATTATTTTGAATCAAAATTACTAACTCTTTTAAAACATAATCTCCAACTATATGATTATTTTGATTATTTATACTTTTAAAATGATCTAAATCAAAAAACAATAAGCTCAGATCCCATTTATTTTCCTTCGCACTCTTGAATTCATTCTCCAATTTCTTCAAAAAATAAACTTTATTATATATTGACAAAGGTTCATCCATCCGGCTTTTATACTCTCCAATGGGAAGGTATTGAAATTCACTACGCTCCATTGAAAGTATATCACCTTTTATTAAAAGATGGGAGATATGAAATCCAAGCTTTTCACCATTAACAAAAATCCCATAATCAGTACCTAATTCATTAATTTCGACTTGCCCTTGATAATTTACAATAATTCTTGCATGATTTTTAGCAATTTCCTGGTCTTTTATAATGACATCGTTCGAATTACCCCTACCTATGGATATTTCACCCGGAGGAAGAAAAATGTATAAATTTTGAGCAGACCCTTTAGTAATTTCTAAACATGCTACATCTTTCGAAGTAAACTGAATCCTGTCCTTAAAAGAACTCCCCAAAGAAATTTTTGGAATATAATTAGAATCTTGATATACACAATCAAGCTCAATATCTTTGAGACGATTAATGACCTCGTCAATTGGTGGTCGTTTTTCAGGATCAGGTTTCCATGAATCACAATAAAGTTCTTTGTAATCTATAGGAGTTAAATTAACAGGATCTTCTCTATTTTCAAGAGCAAGAAAAGTATTTAATTTTTTTGTGTTGTTTAATTCAAATCTATTACAAAAAGGAGGCTTTCCACTTGATATTTCCCAAAATATCACCCCCAAACTGTAAATATCGGAAGGTTTATTATATTTATTATCGTTAAGCGTGGGATTAAAGAATTTCGGATCCACATAAGTAACATTTTCTTCCGTAATCTTAAGAGTAGGTTCCATTTGACTTTTAAGAAATATGGATGAGCTAAAATCTATAATCATCAATTTACCATAGTGGTCATGGTACATTATATTTTTTGAGTTACTATTAATTTAATATTGACATAAAAACATTATTATTGAAGAGAGTCAATTGCATATAACAAAATCCCTTCAAATTGCTATACCAACCAGATCACAATGTACAATATTTGCTGTATGAATATATTCCAAGCCTGTAGCAATTTCTATGACCATTCGCGTTTTATATGACCAGTCACTTTTTGAGACATATTCTTCTTTTAAATGTTCCCTAAGGTTTTTATTACCACTATATTGAAGCACTATAGAATGAAATTTCTTGGAAGGTTCTTTAATAATGAAACATTATGAAGTATTGAGCACGATTTCGGAAGATCAATACATGGTACAAAGAATCATTGCTGACTAGAAATAATGACACGTAGAAATACCTTTAGTTACACCATAGAAACTGGTCACGTTATCATTAGGGAAAATTTTTTTTAAATTCAGTATCTATTTATTTGTAATTTCAAGCAATTAGAATGATAATAAATAAATAACACTTATATTTTAGTAAAATAGGCTCTAATTTCGAAGCCTGTCTCCATTTCTGATTTGGCGGTTACATACCTTCTTATTAAATTTCTTGAAATATTCAGCTTGATTATATTCCTTTAAAAATTTGAGAACGACGTGTCGTTTTTTAGTTTTCATATAAGCATATTTTATCTCACTTGAGCCATTTGAAATAATTCTGAAAACATGAAATTCATTATAATCAAAGTAATCTTTGCTAATTTCGTCCATATTAGTGAAAAGAATCATGTATGTGTATACTGTATATATTTATATAAAAACTGCATCATGACAAAAGTATTCATAATAGGATAAAATAAACTTTGTAACACCGGTCTAAAGTGGCGATCCGCAGTTTTAAAACCCAAACTATCCATTTTTATTATTTGACCATGTTTATTAGTGCTGAAATTTCATTTTTAGCCTATAAATACGTGTCAGAAATTTAAATTTTCCGAGGTCACTTAGTTTTAGTTTAAAGGCATTAAGAACATAATATTGATAAGGCATTTGGAATTAAGACTTTCTAAAAAATAGCCAAACAGTGATTATATTTTAAGCGATCCATGATCTTTACATAATCATAATGGACAGGATGCCTCTTAAATCGTAACGGTAACGACAATCTTAAAACCATGTACGTTCTGACATGAATAACAGGAACGGAAATTTTGCGAAGTGAGTTGATAGGTGTAACAATTTAATGTGCTGCTCACAAAATATTTTAATTGATTGGACGTTATTTGCATTGTGTAAGGGCGTGAGTGCAGATTGATTTTTCACATGTAATTTCGTCACCGGTTTTGTGTATTCAATTGTGCCTAAATTTGGGATAAACCTTGTCCAACATAAACAAGTAGCTGCGCAACGCAGTTGCGCAAAAACAAGAACGGGAAAAATCTATGCAGACACCATTTCAGTCACGGGAAACCATATTTTCCATTGCAATCCATTCCTGGTATAAGAAAATGACTCTTTATAAAAGAAGTCGATAGTACTTGCAATCTGAATATTGGTTTGAATTTCAGTGACCGGGCCTAAAAACCTATTGATGAAGTCAATGCCTGACTGCTATATAGTTGGTTAGCTAGCATCACTCAGTTCCAATGAATCCGACCCAAAATTCTGGGGCCCTGCAAAAAACATTAAAATCTATGAACGTATTTACAAATTCTTTCGATAAAGTCTTTGACGATCAGTGATTATCATTTTATCAGCGCGATAAAAAATTCGATGAAAAAATAGCATTGAGGCCTTTAAATTTATATTGGGTCACTAATTTTTGCGCCTAAAAAAATTATTTTTACAATCGTTTGTTATAGCATCTTCAATTTTACAGATCTATGCGCTCATTTATGTTTTTTAAAAAAATATTGGATGATGAAAAAGTCATGCGGACCAATCAATTCCAAGATTTTGCGTACAGAGGCATTTGTTTCTGGTACCTACCCTTTAAAGTATTGTTCGGGGTGCTATACAAAGTCACAATGGCAGATTACCCAATCATATGCTTAGAATTGTACACGCATATTAACTTGTCTGTAAACCATACACTACATTATACATTATACGTTGTACAAACTCCGTTCCTGGTATATAAAATTAAACGTAGATTATTTGATGATTCTATTTATTATAATTTGTTTATTATTTAATAAACAAAAAGATATACATGTTTACTTGGAGATAAAATATGTAATTAAATTCGTTTATAGCGTTAATTTTGCTTCTTTTGGTATTTTTTTATTCTTTTGAACTTATGATTTGATTGACTAATTACCACGTGAAAATACATGAACATCTGTGTAACATTGAACGTTTCACCTGTGCACGGTTTCCAAATATTTGAAATTTCGTAAATCTGCCCGAATTAGCAACGAGCTACCATAATGGAGTAAGAATTCCATGTGCATGATGTCTTGGAATTTGAAAAGTTACTAATTTGCACTAGCTATTGTTTATTCTAACCAAATATAATGCTCTTTTAGAATTATAACATATGGGCTAGGTGCTACAGAAAAGGGGGAAATTGACAAATTTTTTAAAATTCGTTTTTTTTATATAAATTAAATTAAAATACAATCAGGATTTAAATCACAAAAATAGTTTTATTAATAAAGTTTGCAGTATATCTACAAAATTTATAACATAAGAATAGATTTTCCGAAGATCTTTTTTTTGTTGATTTCCCTTTTCTGTAGCACCTAGCCCATATGATTGATTCAGTTTAAAATTATGAACGCATCGAATTCGAGAATGAATAAAATGATATGTATTTTCAGATATGTTAAATATTTCATCCCAAACTTTTCACCATGAGTCATCATTCGCAAACAAAAAAATATGAGAGTTTAGATATCATCATTCCTGTTGAAGAAGAAGAATTAAACAATACTAGATTTTATACGCATAATATTTACGAGCATTTGTATAATGGTAGAATAGGTGCTCCAGTTCGTGAAAAATTATTGAACGGTGCCAAAGTACTAGAATTTTGGTAAATCATATTTTTATAATTTGATAGTGTCTTTATAATTATTTACTAATTTAAAATTTTTCATAAAAAAAAAAATAATAATAATAAAAGTTGTGATGGTGGAATTTGGTCTACAGAGGTATTTAGCAATACTGACATTTCTTTATAAATATTGGTAACTTCAATTTTTTTTTAAAAAAAAAGATTAATTCCAGAACTATATTAGGTTGCTGCCGACTATCCAAATTCAGAATTTTATGGAGTTGATTTTGCTATACCAGATTATTTTGTCTCACCATATTTTGGAGATAAAGCTAATGTTACATTCATTGAATGTGATATTTATAAAAAGTTACCATTCCCCGATAATGAATTTGATTATGTTTTTTCTAAAGATAAGTGTTTATATATGGAAAGAAGTAAATTTCAACAAGTTTTATTAGAACTCTTTAGAGTATTAAAACCTGGGGGTTGGTTAGAGGTAAGAAAGTGAGTCTAATTTTATAATAATATTTTTATAGATCCTAACATTATTTGTATTAGATTATATATTCATCTAAACCGGACACTACTTATGCACCAGCATTTACGCGACTATATGGATCAAGTATGTTTGTCGCGCATTTATTCTAAAAATATATGCCTTTAAATGCAGTTTGTAGAAACAAACTTTAATAATGTATGTACGTATATACGTTAAAGAAAAAAAAAAACTGCGTTTATGGGTTAATTATATATGTTTGATACTGTCTGATTACATATACTCTCTAAATGCATAAAAAAATTGGGTTTTAATCATTAACACAAAAATTGTTTATGACTTAAATGTATATACTGTCTATATGCATAAAAACGTCTCCAACAGATGGCATGCATTTAGACAGTATTGACTGTACTTAACCCAGAATTTGATTTTGCATTTAGATAGATACTGTATTAAAGACATTTACATTAAAATGCTTTACTGTATTTTAAAATATTTTCTTAACCAATTCGTAATCATTTAGTGTTTTCGTGGTTCAAGATGCAACATATCGATCTTGAAATAATTAATAACCTTGAAAATTACATTAAAAAGACCGGGAAAGCCGAACATATATTATGTCGAGCGATAGACACTCAGATAAAAGGCGGATATGCTTTTGGAGAGTTTATTACAGAAGTTATTTTATTTATTTATAGAAGTTCAAGAGATTATTTGGCGCCTTTTATGAATATTTCACTTGAAGAATATGATAGCTTGTTGAATAATGCTGAAAGTGAATTCATTGCCGAAGATAACAAAACAACATTAAAAAACAAGCAAGTACTTGCAAAAAAAAAAAAAATACATCACTCTGAATGAAAATTTACATACCGCATCTAGTACTAAATAAGTACAGGTATCAGTGTTTATCCGTTGCAGGAATTGTATAAAAGTGTTTTATGCCTTTGACTAAATAGTTCATACTAAACTTAATATCATTAGCTCACCAAAGACCTATTATTACGTTTAACAAATTTATATATTTATACCAAGCTAGCGAGGCGAGATTTTTTTTAGCTCGCCAATTTCTCGTCAGCCTGCCAACTACCCTATTTATGATCCATTTTATAATTATATTTCGCATACCTTATTTTTATAAAAATTTATCATTAACTTATTATCACTCCATCTATAGGCCAATTAGAGGAAAATTTGCCTCTAAATTTAACAATTTATAAGTTTATTTCTGAATATTTTTTTTAAAAAAAATATTTAATCAAAATTTTTTTAATAATATTTGAAAATAAGGATTATATTAAAAGGGTACTTTTAGGCATCTCTCACGGGAGACGTATCTCTCATATCTGTTAGCCAATAACGAGCCATAATTTAGTGTCCTTGACCAAAACAAACGGTAGTTCGAAGAAAAATAGCTTATTTCTCAAAAAATCGTACAAGAAACCTCCTTTCGTGCGCTAACAAAAAGTTTTCCTTGAGCAAAATTTACATACATTTTTTGTCCTTAACTCTAATCTAAATGATATCTATCCAAAATAATAATTTATGCTAACAATTTTATACCAGTACGATCACATGAATGTGTAACATGAATGTGTAGAGGGATGGTTCCGTTCAACTTTTTTGAAGCCTA